GGGTCAGGAGGTGGGGGGCTGGAGATTCGGGGAGACCCTCGCCAGGCACGACGGGTCAGGAGGTGGGGGGCTGGAGAAGGAGCTGCCGCACCCAGCGCCTCCGGCATCGGAAGCTCCTGTGGCCCCCGGGAAGGGAGCAGCCGACAGCCCCAGCAGAAACCGCGCTGGGACCCGCTGGCTGAGGGACGCGCCCAGAGCGAGCGGGGACCCCCCACCCCCGCAGGAGGAGCCTGGGGGGGGCGCACCTCGTCCAGCACGGCGTTGCGCTTGGCCCGCTGCCGCTGCCGGAGCAGCACCAGGCCGGCGATGATGTCAGATGGCACGATGTCCAGGTCCCGGAAGAACTCGGCGAAGAGGTAGGCGATTTCCGAGTAGGCGTCCTGGCAGGCCGGGGGGCAGGCGGCGGCGGCAGGGGAGCAGGGGGGGGCGAGACACCAGGCGTGAACCCCCCGGGCTGGCGTCCGCTCGGGCGCCACCCTCCCCTCGGCGGCCGGGCCTGGCCGGACCAGTGTGGCCCTGTCCTGGGCCCGGGCCCTGCACACAGGGGTGGCTGCCTGGGATCCCACCGGCCCTCGGGGCCTCCGCCTCCTGGTCCTCTCCTGGCTCTGCCCATACACGCCTATGCCAGCCGGAGCCACCCCTCCTTCCCCACGTGCTGGGCACGAGCTCAAGGCAACAGGTTCTCATGCACCAGGCTTACCCCCCAGTGCCTGGCGCTTGGCAGAGGGGGAGAAATCAAGGTTGCAAACTCATGGGCCCTTGGGGGCTCAACAGACCCAGCGACAATTCAGCTTTCCACAGAGTATCTGGGAGGCCCGACCCCTCTACCCTATCCCTGACTCCTGGCACGGCCTGCCTGGGAGGAGCCCCAGGGCTGTGGGGCAGGTCTGCAAACAGAGCCCAGGCCCGGGAAGAGGGGTGTGGCCCGGTGGCACCGAGAGCCTGGGCTCTGGATCCAGGCAGCCTGGGTTCCCGTCTGAGCTCAGACACTCACTCCCTGGGAGCCCGAGGAAAGTCACGCGCCCCCCTGGCGCCCAGTCTGCAAAAGGAGGCCCAGACCCTGGCCCATGGCCCCACAGACCCCAAGAGGCCCGTGGGGGTGCTCCCTGCCCACCAGAGATCCTGGGGGGCTTTCTTACACTTGATTACTCACTCTACAGCTCACCAGAGGCTTCTGGTGAGAAGAAGCCACTGAGGCTTCTGGTGGCTTCCGTGCAGGGCACTCTGCTGTCTGGCTCAGGGGGAAGTGTCCTGGCCTCACTGGCTCTGCCACTAACTAGCTGTGGGCGCTGCGCGAGGCTCCCGCCTCCCTGGGCCTCTGCTGCCTCACCTGCAAAGCGAGGGGCGGGACTGGACGGTCTCTGAGGCCCTGCCAGAGCTGGGGGCTCTGCCTGCCTCCCTGACAAGTCCGGCCCACGCAGACACTGGACCACCCCGTGGAACTGCCCAGAGTCCTTTGCTGCTGGTGGTAAGCTACTCCTTTTTGTCGCTGGATGCCCTGATTTTTGAAACTCTTCTAAACCAAGGGGTCCCCAGGGGCTCTAGGAAAGGTTTTAAAATCTTCCTGGGGCCTTGACAGCAAGCGCTGGGCTGTCATGCTGGAGCAGCCGGCCGCGGATGAGGGCCTGGTGAGCACTGTCGCCCGGCCCTGCTCAAACCCAGCGGCCTTCTGCCAGCCCTGCCTGCAGGCCCTGCCTGAGGAGCTGAGGCCTCTCAATGGCCAGCCACAGGCAGGATGTGCACCCCAGGGAAGCGACCCCCAGTACTTACTGACTGGGAGTCCTTTGTCCGAGTGCAGCAAAGAAACACTTTGAGCCGGCGCGACCAGCTGGTGGCCTGACCCTCCTCTAAGCGGTGTCTGCAGAGGGGGAGAGTTGGTATGTGTGGGCTGGACCAGAAAAGCCAGGGCCCAGACACTGTGGAAACAGGGTGGCCTGTTCCCAGGACCCCACGGAGGCCCGGGGAGTCTAGGGGAGAGTAGAGCCCAGGCCCAGCCAAAGCTGGGTGGCCAGGATCTGTTTGGCCGCCGGCCCGGCGCTCCTGGCAGATTCCTGCTGGCCTGAGATGGCGTGTGGCACCGGCTTGGGCTGGGGCCGGTGTTCCGGGCTTTTGGCAGATGGCACCAGCACGCCTTGGGGGCTTCGGGGCCGGGAACCCAGAGTGGGGGCTTCTCTGCAGCCCAGCGAGCCAAAGGCTCAAAACCAGAGCCCTGAACAAGGCGGCAGGGTGCTGGGGTTCTCCATGACTGGAGCAGACCGGTCAAGGGCCTTGCTCCCCTGGGAAGGGGACCCATGTTCCCTGTGTTCGGGGGGAGTTTAAGAGGCTGGGTGAGGTGCTACAAGTCCCCACTTCCATGCGTCTGTGACCTCAGAGGGGAGTGTCCATTTCCAGACCCAGCAGCGGGGGGCTGACTTGCCTGATGACATGAGCTCCCCTCGCCCCCGTCAGAGCCCGACACTGGTGGTCAGGGCAGTGGGAGGCTGTGAATGCACTTAGCGTCCCCCGAGACGACAGGCCCGCCCGACCTCTCTGCTGGCTCAGCTCCTCCCTGGCTAAAGGTTGCTTCCTGTCCCCGGCCATGGTCAGGCAGTGAGTGCCCCGAGGACAGGGCAGGTCACAGGGCAGGGCCTTCAGGGCCGCAGGAGGGCAGGAGAGGGTGCTGGACTGTCGCGGTGTGGGGCATGGGCTGGCAGAAGGGACTGGGGCAGCTTTACATTCTAAAGTGATGTCCAGCCACCAGAGTTGTGGCGAAGGGACAGCTTGCTGGCCAAGCTGGGCTCTCAGGGCATCACGTTCTTCAACCCTTTTCGTCTAATGACTCTCACAAGGGAGTTTCCTGCAGGACCTGGGGCCCCACGGAAGCACTGGCCGCACCCGGCTGCACTATCCTCTGTGCCCAGCAGGGGGCAGCTGGCGCTGGTGACAGCATCCAGCCACCGACTGGGGAGAGATCCAAGTCGGGACAAGTTCATGTGTCCTCTGCCCCCGGCTCTCTAAAGCAAGTGGAGCCCAGACACCCTGGAGAGCAGCAGGGAGGAACCCATTGCTCAACCCCCACCCGATTTCACTGCAAGAGAATGAACAAGGATTCAAACAGCTTCCCGGCTTCCAGAAACGAGATCAGCCTGGTAGTGCGGCCGGAGGGCTCCGGTGCCTTTCTGAACCTAGAAGTGGATGACCGTCAGCAGGTCTGAAATGTCCTTGCTAGAAAAGCTGCTGCCTGATGGTTTCAGAGCAGAGAGAGGGCCAGCGGGCACCGGACAGGTTACCCTGCTGGGTGCTGAGAAACCACAGTGGGTCGGGACCTGTGGGCACTGTGGCCTCTTACCTGCCCTGGGCCTGGAACTGCCAGAAAACTTTCAAATTAAAATGCCAGTCACTGGCACCCCCCTCCTGCACAGGCCCTGGCTGCCCTGGGCCCCAAAGGCAATTACCCAGAGCCAGAAAGGGGAGATTTTATTCCAGGGCCCCAGGAGCCCAAAAACCAGGTCAGCTGTGGGTGTGGGTTCAGAGTGAGCAAAATGGGGTGGGTGGTGGCCGGCAGCACCGAGAGGCCAAACGGGCAATGGGACTGTGACTCCAAGTCCCGGCAGCCCAGGCGAGAGTGGGCGCTGGTGCCGATTGCGGCTGACCTGGCGGGCCCAAGGCCGGCAGGGAGATCTGCTGGGCAGGGGCCTCTGGGCAGCCCACTCCCCTGGCTGAGGGCTCCTGCACCGCTCTTGGCTGGCCATCAAGTGCCCTTTCCACTCCTCCAAGGGACCAGCTCTCAAACGTACCTGGACTCCCCCTGTTAGGGTGGATCTCGGGCACCCCAGGGTTGACAGAGGAACAAGCGGATCGAGGGTAGACGGCCGTCTGTCTCAGGGTGGAAGCTTGATTAGTGGGAGCTTGTGACCCACCTTGTAGCTGCCCCCCTTTCCTTTTCGTAACAGGAATGACGGTGACCTGGCCCAGATACCTGCCCTTGTTTCCTCTGCCATGACACAGCCGTCTCTCTCCTCTTTAAAACACTGCGCAAAGTCTGCCCCCTCCAGGAAGCCTTCCTTGATTTCTTTCCTCCAGTCTACTTTATCCCCGGGGCAGCATTCTGGCAAGAACTCTAAACCACTACAGCGCGCTGCCCGGGTCTGCGCCCTGCCCCGTCACTGACTAGACGTTTCACCTCAGGCAAGCCTCAAGAGCTCCCCGTTTCCTCGTCTGTGTTTTGGGGAAGATGATGGAGCCGCGCTGCCTGCTATGACTGTGCTGGGGCTGCAGGAAGGGCAGGGATGGCGATGACCACGTGCCCTTTGTGCCCAGCAGCCCCGTCTTCACCACAGCACAGCTCTGTCCTCTAACCTCACACGCTGGCATCGCAGTTTCAAGGTCAAGAGGCCACGGCAGGGAGACGCTCAGCCTGGACGATGCCCCTGGCTCGCTGGGGGCAGAGGCAGGCTTGGAGGGCGGGGCAGCCTTCTGGACCCGGGGCCGCCGGGCCCGCCCACCCAGCACGGCCCGGGGGCTGCCTGGCCACTGACCGCAGGTTGTAGGTCCGCAGGTTGCGCTGCCGTCTCTTGGTGGCCCTCAGCTTGACGAAGGTGCGGCCGGTGGGGTCGAAGACGCAGAGGACGGTGATGCAGACGCTGAGGATGACCACCCAGTTGCAGACGACCATCCCTGCAAGGGCAGTGGCGGAAGCAAGAGCAGGAGGTGCTGGGGACACGTCCCTGGTGCTGGGGCCTGCCCCCCCACCCCCCAGCTTCTGGGACAGACAGCAATTCCCAACCTCTGGTCCCAGCACCTGGCCACCTGCCGCCTGGCTGAGCCCTGGCCCGAGGGGTTCCCAGGGTGCTGGGGAGCCCTCAGCTGCTGCCCAGGCAGCTCTGTCTGCGGCACCCACATGACCCAGGTTGCCTGCAACTGATGGTGGACCCCAAGGGGAAGCCGGGGCCTCACCCTTCAACCCACTGGGCACCCCACGGAAGTGCCTCCACCTGGCAAAAACTGGGGACGCAGGCTTCTCTCACGGGCCCCAGCCCAGACGGCTCACATACCCAGGGTGACGTTCTTGGCGGTCAGGTCGTTGCAGGACGTGTAGTACTGGGTGAGCCAGACGATGCCCACGATGGCGTAGATGAACTCAATGACCAGAATGGCTGCGGAGAGCGGCCGGCTGAGGGCGCTGCTGTCTGTCTGCTGGGGGGCCTGGGCCCTCCCAACGCCGGGCCTCGCCAGCTCCGTGATGGGGCGTCTGGCCCCCTCGGAGGCCCAGGGAGTAGCCCCCCCATATCTGCACTGTTGACACAGACCCACAACCTATTGGTGACCCCTGGTCAGTCCCACAAACTCTGGACTCAGCCCAATCTTGGGCAAGGACCTAATCTGTCTACATACAGGACTGTGCGGGACAGACCAGGAGTCATTTCACAGAAACTGCTACCTCCCAGGAAGGGCCTGGGCCCTGGAGGGGGAGGGAGGAGCCCCAGGGCTGTGGGGCAGGTCTGCAAACAGAGCCCAGGCCCGGGAAGAGGGGTGTGGCCCGGTGGCACCGAGAGCCTGGGCTCTGGATCCAGGCAGCCTGGGTTCCCGTCTGAGCTCAGACACTCACTCCCTGGGAGCCCGAGGAAAGTCACGCGCCCCCCTGGCGCCCGGTCTGCAAAAGGAGGCCAGAGCCAGCTCCTGCCTGAGTTAGCAGGGACGGGGCTTGCTGGACATGGCCCGGAGAAGGCTGGAGCCGGAACCCAGGAGGAGGCCCAGACTCGCCTCCAAGGAGCGCCTCAGGAAAGAGGATGCTGTTTGGAGACAAACCCCAAGACAGCGAAAGAGAGGCGCACGGCGTCGGGCGTGTGGGCGGGCTCTCTGAAGGTGTGGCGGGCGCTGCAGGTCCCGTCCTGTCCAGCTCTGCTGTGGTCGTGCAGAAGCGGCCAGAGACAGGGAGTGTGAAAGTGGGTGAATCCGGGTTCCAATAAAACTTTATTTACAAAGACACGCAGTGGGGGGCAGGTGTGGCCCTGGGGCCAGAGTGTGCCCAGCCTCGGTCCAGAATGTAAGCCCAGTGAGCCTGCTGGCTGCCTGCTGTGCTCAGGAGCTGGCACCCCATCTATGAGGCCTGGACGCGTGAGGGGGCCTGGGGCGGGGGAGGGGAGGGCCGAGCAGCCTCCGCCGGGGTGGGGGCCCTTACCCAGGCGCACGTAGAGCACGTACTGCATGGACTCGCGGGGCTCCGTGTAGAGGATGCCCCCACGCATGCTCAGCCAGATGATGGCCATCTCGGCGATCATGCAGCTCAGCAGGATGCCCAGGTAGCCGCGGCCGTGGTCCACCAGGTTCAGGGAGCAGGCCTCGTGCGGATTGTAGACCAGGCCAAAGAGCACCACGGACAGGATCACGAACCTGCGGACAGCAGGCGAGAGTGAGCGCCTGGCCTGGAGGGCCTCTGCGGACATGGCCAGAGGGGGCCAGGGACCTGGCGGAGGGGAGGCGGTGGCAGCTCTGCCCAGGCTGGGCCGGGCCTCGGGGGCCGGGCAGGGTTCTCTGGACCCTGCGTGGCACCTCCCTGGGCGGCGGCTGCCCCAGGGGCCTCCTCCTGGGGGCTGGAGCGTGGCCAGTGGCCGGAAAGCCCTGGCAGCCCTTTCTCTGCCACCGGCCTTCGGGTGGCCGCAGACTCACCAGGTGGTGTGCAGCAGGAAGAGGAAGATGGCCGGCAGGACGAGGTCGTCACTGCCCACAGACCAGCGCCTCCGGAACACCACGATCCCGGGCATGGCTGGCGGCTCTGCGGAGGCTCAGCAGGCCTGGCGCTCACCTCCTGGAAGACAGCAGGAGGCGTCTGGGCTCCTGGTCCACGTGGCACCCATGGGACCAACTCCTGGTCAGATGTGGCCAGCAGCACACCCATCTCTCCCGGGGCTCACAGCCCGGGGGCTCCCAGGTCCCCAAGGTGCTGCTCTGTTCCTGGGCAGCACCGCCCCCCACCCCTCCCTCCGGAGCCAACAGAAGAGACCTCAGCACAGCAGCCACGCCTCACGCCTGTGGTGGCCCCACAGGTCGCTTGGGGTTGCTCAGCTCTAGTAATGTCTGGGCTCACCTGTGTCTACCCCCCGTGAGGTCAGGAGAGCCCTGCACCCCGGTCGCCCTTCGGCAAGACCCGGCAGTACACACAGTCATTGGGGGGGGGGGGTCGGCTTCGCAGAACTGGCCCAGGCTGAGCGGGCGTGGAAGGCTGAGGGCTGGAGGGAAAGGGGCTGGGGCTGCATGGGGGCACCCTGTGTGGTAGGTGCTCAGCAATTATTTCCGGAGTGAGGGGAGTGAGGTCTGCAGCTCCTTGCCAGCCTGGAACCCCGTGGCAGGCCCTGTGACTTGGGTTTGCCCCCATCTGACAGAAAGTCCAACCACAGCTGTGTGTCTTGGCAGGAAGGGCGTTCTGAGATGAGGTCAGAAGGACGCCGGGGCACCCAGTCCACTGCTGGGGGGCCACGCGAGCCCTCCCTGCGGCCACCCACCCTCCCGCAGCCCCGCCTCTGCCGTCAGCAGTGTGGCCTTGACTGCCTGGGCCCAAACTCCCTAAGTAGCTGGGTTCAAACTTGCCACCAGGCAGCTCAGGGAGGCACACCAGGATCTGGGGTCCCCACTCCAGCTTGCCCCAGGAGCAAGGGGAACGGCACAAACTGAGATGCCCCCACAGGGGTGGTCCCGGAGGTCCTGGCGAGGGGCGCCGAGAGCCTGCACTCAAGTGCACAGAAGCCCTGCTGCGGGGGTGGCACCCCACTGGTGAGCAGCTGCCCCCCAGGCTGGCAGAGGCTTATATGGCACCTGGTCTGGGCGGCACATCCTCCTCTCCCCAGTACAGCTCTGGGGAGGACGAGTGCCGGCGGGGACGGGCATCACTGGGGAAGGAAGCAGCCAGGTCTCCCTGGGCTGGTGGGCACCGCCCTCAGGGCGGGCGAGGGGGTGTGGGGCCGGGGGGCAGCCGCGGCAGGCTGCTCTGTGGGCTGGCGGGCTGGCGGTGGGTCGTGCCTGCCCCCCCGCCCCAGGAAGTGACATCATCCCGTCTCTCCAAGGAGGAGTCGGAGCATGGATTCCAGGAGGCGGGAGGGGGGTGTGGGGCCGGGGGGCAGCCGCGGCAGGCTGCTCTGTGGGCTGGCGGGCTGGCGGCGGGTCGTGCCTGCCCCCCCGCCCCAGGAAGTGACATCATCCCGTCTCTCCAAGGAGGAGTCGGAGCATGGATTCCAGGAGGCGGGAGAGGGATGAGGCGCTCGGAGCCGGTGGCGGGGGCCGGGGGTGGGGTGCGGGTCTGGGGCTGCCGGGCGCTGCCTGCCTGGACCAGCAGCCAGCAGCACCGGCTTCACTGGGCCGGAAAGGCTGAGCACTGAGGGCAGCAGGCTGGGTGCAGCTGGCCACGTGTGGTCACCCCGGCGCCACAGCAGCTCCGGGGGGCCCAGGAGGGCGCAGTGGACTGTGGCTCAGCTCCGCACCCCACCAGGGAACGCAAGGTCTCGGCAGGCGCCCCTCTCACACCCCGTGCACACCCCAGCAGAGGAAAGTGAGGGTCCTGCCAGCGCCGTCCCTGCCAGCCCTGAACACCTGGCTCTCAGGGGAGCCCGAGGGGCCCTTCCCAGCCCCCTTGAGGGGTACCCTCCTTTCACCCCCTTTCACATCCTGGAGTCCAGAACGTCTAGCATTGCTTCAGTCACCCAGGGCCGGACTCGCACGCGCCCGCCCTCCCTGCCCTCAGGGAGCTGTAGATGGCCCCTGGCGTGGGGCCGTCGCCTGAGGCCGAGCTACGGTCAGTGCCGGTGCCCACCTGGGTCATGTGGCCGGGCGCCTCGGCGGGGCCCTGCGCTGCCCGGGAGCCTGGCTGCTGGCTGCGCCCGGCCCACCCACGCTCGCCGTGCGACTGACCACCCGGGCTCGGCCTGCTCATCTGCTCAGGCCGACGGTCCCCAGGACCCTCTGGGAGGCCACCTGCAGGGGCCCTGGGCATACGGGATGGGGCCGGGGTCTCCGCTGGGGTGGCTGAGGGGCAGCGTGAGTCCCTGGGGGGCCAGCAGCCCCTCCCCGGCTGGTCACCAGCAGGTCGTGGTCCGGGGGTGACAGGAGGGCCAGTGCTGCTTCTGGGGCGGGGCGGACGCCGACTCATCAACCTCAGGACAGCTGCTTTTAAGGGGCTGAAAGGCGCCCTTTCTCTGGGGACCCCAGCCCTTCACAATGGGGGCCTGTTCCCCTGCTGGAAATGTGATTTCATCTGGAGGAAATGTCTCAGGAGGGGGCAGGGCAGAGGCCACGACTGGCCTCAGCTCCTCCGCGTCTCTCCTTCCCTGGGGCTCGGGGGTGCCAACGGGCAGCCACAGTGGGGGGCATGCAGCCTCCCCCTCCGACCACAGAGAGGGGCACTTCTGGGCAGCTGGAGGGCTCTCCACGGGAGAGAACGAGGGGACCCTCGTGGCCCCCGGCCTGGGCAAGAGTGAGTGGGGTTCCAGGGGCCCCAAATGGACAGAATGACTCAGTGGCCCTAGGGGCCCTTGCTCCCCCACCCACCAGGCTCACTTTCCCCACTGGGGATTCAATTTGTCTGTTAAATATCGATGCCCAGCAGTTCCTCTTTCAAAAAACACATGTGCTGCCCCCACTTTCCGAGGGTCCCCACAGTCTGTAAGATAAAGCGCAAGCCCCTCTGATGAGTGGTGGAGGGTCTCAAGTCTCTGGCAGACAGGCTGTGCAACCTTGGGCAGACACCTAGCCCTCTCTGAGACTTGGAGCTGGGGGACACTTCCCAGCCCGCGGGGCCCCGGGCCCCACAACTTCAAAAACAGACTGCTGACTTATTTCAGGGGTAAGGAAAACTGAGGTTCAGAAAGGCCCCGGAGGCCCCCAGCTTTCCCACACAGTCCATCCTGCTGGACATACATCTCCAGGATGCCCGAGCCAGCACACCCCACTCGAATTCCCCTCCGACACGGCCATTATTAACACTGTCACCCCAGGGAGCCTGGGATGAGATCCTTTCACACTCTTGAAGATGCATAACCCTCTCAGAAGCCGGCAAAATCCACATGAGCTCCCTTGCTGGAGATCAATCAGCAAGAAGGCAGCACCACGTATATGGTTTCAAACACATCACCCAGGTCTGAGCTGCCGCCGGGGTCCCCAGCACCCTGCAGCTTGGCTGGCTGAGGACACTGAGACCCAAATTCGCCTCCCTGGGCCTGTGCCCCCCCCACCCCCTCTGCTAAGGCAGCCGATGGGGCTGCGGTCCCCAGGCCAAGAGAAGCATCCCCAAGTGGGAAAGGCACCACCCCGGTGCCTCAGAGATCCTCCTCTGAAGAAGGAGGCGGGACTGATGGAGGCTTTGATGTTTGTGGCTATGTTAGTATTTATTTGGTTTTTATTTACAACAAATGGCTACATGTGTCTTCTGGGAACCGCAATGAAAAGGTAAAGTAAAAACTTTAAAATAAACATCAGAACAAAAACTAATGATGACAGCAGACTGGGCGAATCTGGTGCATGTGAGCAAGACACAAACACAGGTCCACTTGCTACATATCCATCATCAGACTCTGAGCTTCCTGGTGGCCCGAGTGAAAAGAGAAAATGGGGAGCCTCTGAGGGCTCTTTGAACACTGCAGGGTGTCTTCACCCCTGACGCCCACCAGAAACGGAGGAGCCCAGGTAGAAGGGCTTGAGGCCGCACACGGGCTCCGGCTTGGCCCTGCTGGCCTGTGGACTCAAGCAGCTGCACTGGGCCCTGGGGCTTGTCTAGTGTTGGGTGGGGCATCTGGCCTGGAGGACTGGCCACTGGGAGGCTGGGCCTGGGCCGCTGCAGGGCGTGTGATGGCTCCAGCTGCGCCCCCTAGCTGGGTCCGGCTTGCCAACAGGCCACCCTCACCGGGCGGCAGCTGGCTTCTGCTCCCTAGCAGACTCCAGAGCACAGCAGTCACATCCCAGCTGCTCCACTTCTCAGCCTCATGGCCAGTGAGGCAGCTCGTTAACCTCTGCTTGCTAATGAGGCTCCAGGAGAGAGCCTGCAGCGGGGGTGGGGGCCGCCCCCTGTGGGTCAGGGACTCCTAGGGATTGTGAGTCACCCACCACGTCTTGGGTCTCTCCTAGGCTTCTGCAAACACTCATTTCCCATGACCACCTCGGGCTGGGCACTGGACAGACTGGCCTGCGGTCACACGGCTGGAGCGGGGCCATGTCTTAACCTGAGGGCCTGAGAGGCAGGGGCGGGATTCCACACAGCTCTGGACCCCGAGGGCTGGCTCCAAACACGCCTTTGCGAGGGAGGACGCAGGGCCCTAGGGGCCGTGAAGAGCTCTGGTCTGCAGGGCGCGTGGGCAGGGCCCGTCCTGGAGCTGGGGCCGCGCGTCTGTCTGGAGGCGGGTGGGCTGTGGCGCCACCCTGGGGCCAGACTCAGTGGAGCCTGGGCAGAGCTGGAAAAGCAGCACCTGTCGGTCCCTTTCCTGACCGCATCAGGTCAGCTCCGGGGGAGAAATCGAGGGCCCCAGGGATGCAGCAGGCGCGGGAAGATCCCGAAAGAGGCGGAGCAGGGGCTGCCAGCAGCCTCCTTGCGTTACTTCAAAGGAAAAACACCTCTGCCCGTCGGTCAGACCCGACCCCCACGCACGCAGGCCCCCCCAGCGTGGCCTTCCGCCCTGGGACCCCCTTCTCCCTCCCGGCCCCAGGCCCCACGCGAGGGCTGGGCTCCGAAAGGCACAGGCAGCGGGAGGCGGGAGGGAGGCGACAGAGAGCGCGTGGGCTGGGGGCCGTGTGCGCCACCAGCCTGTGCCCGGGTGTCTGCAACCCAAG